GAACTTCTTATTTCTTGGAGTTATGTATGCAGACACTTCAAGCAAATTTTAAGACATATTTTGCTAATTTCTATACAAATGCTAATTTCTATACAAATGAAAACTGAACTCCAAATTAGAAAAAAAAAAGGTAGACAATATGAAAATGTACTCTTTCGTAGAAGAGTATATTTCTGTATTTTTTAATGTTGTATAAACATGGGGTTGGTTAGGGTTTTTGAAGCCAAGTTTGCTTGACATGTAATTAAAGTTTAAAATACAGAGAATTTTTGGGAAGTTCACAAGTACCAGATGAAATCAATGGTTTTTTAAGCTGTCTGTGTAGAGTAAACACTGGACTGCTTCTTCCATGAATAAAATGTCTCCATCCTCAGTGCACTTGGCTTTTTCCCTTGGATATTTTGTAGAAATAGAAGAGCTGAACATACTTAGAGCAAAAGCAGCTATTCTCTGAATTATTTTTAAAATCTGGATAAATTTCACTCCTAAACTACAAGGAAGCACCTCCATAGTGCTCAGCTCAAATAGTTGGAATCCCAAGAGTAAGGGTACCTATGTTAAGGCCAAAGCTTCCTTTGGCAAATCAATTCCTTTGGCCTGGAAATAGAACTTTTTTAAAATTTGTTCCCAGTGAATCCCACCACAGGAGGGACTTCCACAAAGATTTCACACAGAAAGTTTTACTCAGCAATAGAGAGGGAGTGAGGTAAATATTGAAATACCTAATGATACTCCAGCTTCCCCCCAAGCTGCACTGGCCTTGACTTTACAAATGCAGAGCTGAGGTCAGGGACATTTTTACTTTCAAGAATGGGTACTGCAGCTCCAGTTCAGAATTCCAGTCAAGAACTGAGACTTTTCCTGTGTCTATGTATAGTACAAGATGGACTGTGCACTAAATACCTCATAAATGGTGAGACGGAAGACAAAAGCCTAAAATTTTGGGATGAATGGAAGTTGAAAGGCATGGTGATCATGGGGAAGAAAACACTGAGGTTTTATTACTAACACACATTTTGGGAATGTGCTACCCCAATTCTGCTTTTAGCCACTGCTAATCCCTGTCTTGGCATGTCAAAACAGGATTATATGATTGAAGAATCATAGAAGCACAGTACCTGCAGCTTCAAATGGAAAACCCTGCAGAAAGTCCTTTCAGAAAAATAGAGGGTAATTTCCCACAAATAGTTCATTAGAAAGTCACAATGAGTTTCAACAGTGACACACATATCTGTACAATATGCAAGAAACATTAAATGAAGCAAGCATTTGTCACCCCCAAAGCTCCCCCGATAACGTGGTTCTACAATTACAGAGATAACTGCACCTGATGTAGTACTGACACTACAAACAAAAGTACTTCAGGTTTGCACTGCACTGTTCAGTGGGACAAAGACTGATGAGCAGACAAAACTCAGCCTCTAAGAATACACCAAGCTCTGAGCATCTGATCTTATTTGGAGGCCTAAGAGAAATCATAATTATTTAAGGGGAGGGGGCATGAAATGCCCACACCAGCAAAGTCCAGTCCAGGAGGTGGTTCAGAGCCATTGCCTGACCACCATCAAAAAGTCAGTGGGGAACAAATATTTGGGAGCAATAATCAAATCCAAGTGAAACTGTCAAGTTTACATTTCACAAATGTCACTGAAGTATTTGTGAAGGAAAGCTATTAAAAGAAATCAATGAGTTACTGAACAGGTGTTGTGTTTGAGAAGTCCCAACCAGCATGGATATTATCTGCTTTTCAAACTGCACTCAGACAGAATTTTTAATGATCAAACTTTCCCATCACCTCAACTCAGTCCCCAAAAGGCTTTGACAGATAATCAATAGACAGACAGCTGTCTGTGCACGACACAGAATTTACTGTGCTGCCTTCACTACTACACTAAACTGAAAATCCCAACTTCAACACTGCACCTTCCCAAGGAACAAAACCAGTACAGCATTAGATAAAATCACTAATTTCCCAGCGGCAATATTACTAATTATGAATAAAAATAAACATCCATGTCCCATTAGCACAACTAAAATCTAAGAGAATGGGGATTACAGAGGATTACAACTTTAACCATATGGTCAGAAGCAGAGATTGATACCATGACCTGACTTATAAGTGCTCACTACCTACATACTGCACTGAAGTGCTTTGCAGGCCTTCAGTTTCAATTCTTAATAACTTTTGGTAACATGAGCACAGATATTTCATGGGTTTGTGTTGATTTGTTCCTCTTTATGAGAGTTTATTACCATTTAATAATACCTTCCCTGTATACTAATCCATTTTTTAAACTATATCATCATATGCAGCAGAAAGTACAATGCTGCATACAAGAAACAAAATTGGAAGAGAAACGGCTGTTGAGTACTTTTACCTGAATGACTGCAGTGTCATGTCCCACAAAAACAAATCATATGTCAGTGGCACAGAAGCATCAGTCGTGTTCTTGCACCATATTCTGGCATTTATCCTTTTGCACTGTACTCCCCTTCCCACCTCAGCTTTAGGCAATCTCTCACTACTCCAAGCTTTCTATGTCATATAATGACATGGCTTATTTGCATCCAATTCCTGTTCCAGTATGGAAAACCCACTGCTGTTGGCAGGACAGGTGAGACTTTCTGCCTGAAGTTTACAGCCAATACTTTAGGGTAAGATAACAAATAATTTAAATAAGAATTGTTGTCATTGTTATTACATATATAAACTTACCACTTAATTGTAAGTAATATTCACACAGTGTTAACCTGACTATATGATGGACAACAATTAATTCTACTGTCTGAGTAACATGACTTCATATCTCTGAGGCTGAATCCATTTTCAGCTTGCTGATAAAGATCTAATGCAATTCACACGAAGCAAAGGCCCACATTTTAATAATTGACACTATTCATTACCTTTAAAGAGGCTAAATACACATTACAAACCCATTCCTGAATGCCAGTGTTCAAAGGAGAGAGTTGCTCAGAATGCACGGTGTGTTTAAGGCAGCCTGAAAGCCATCCTCCATGGCAGGGCAGGAAAGGCAGGAGCAGGGACAGGACTCTGTACTGCTCCTCTCCCCCAAACACGGCTTACTTCCTATCCATGCCTTTGTTCTTCTCTGAAAGCTGCTTAATTGTCGAAAATAACTCCTATCAAAGCTATTCTTTTGTCATTTGAAAGAATCCTAAATGATAAGAGATGGCAGCAGCCAGCAGGGAACCCGCCAGCCTTCCCTGCTGGAAATCCACCAGCAGCTGTTGAGGGCAGTGTGATGCTGTTCACAGGGGTCCCAGGATGAGGGGAGAGACAGGATCTGACTCCATGTTTCAGTAGGCTGATTTATTATTTTATGATATATATTATATTAAAACTATACTAAAAGAATGGAAGAAAGGATTCCATCAGAAGGCTGGCTAAGAATAGAATAGGAAGGGAATGATAACAAAAGCTTTGGTCTCAGACAGAGAGTCCGAGCCAGCTGACTGTGATTGGCCATTAATTAGAAACAACCACACGAGACCAATCCCAGATGCACCTGTTGCATTCCACAGCAGCAGATAACCATTGTTTGCATTTTGTTCCTGAGGCCTGTCAGCTTCTCAGGAGGAAAAATCCTAAGGAAAGGATTTTCCATAAAATGTGTCTGTGGCAGGGCAGCAGCTCGTTCTCCCCTTCCCTCTCGGGGGTAACCCCAGGGAGGGCTTTTCTCTGCACTCTCCCCTCAGCAGCAGCAGCAGCAGCAGCAGCTTCCTTCAGCTCCACACTCTGCTGCCACCACTCAGGCACTGACAGCTGAGCCTCTGCACCCTGCTGCAAACACGTCTGCTTCCCCAGCCATCCTCTCTCTCCTCATTTCTTCATCTTCCCAACCTCCTTCCTCTTCTGCCTTTTCTGCCCAGACCCCTCTATCCCCCACAAGTGAAAGCAGCAAGTAAACAAAAGGCCATTCAGCACATCACCAGGGCTGAAATGAACTCAACTGCTCTACAAAAATGCTCTGTAATTTCTTCCCCAAATTCCTACATAAAATACATTCCTTACTGTAACTGGGAAGAAAATATCATTTGCTGGTTGTTTCTTCAGCACATTAAACTGCCAGGATTGTGATAGAAGTAGTGAAACATTTGGGGTAGAAAATCCACTAGCAAGTAATACCTAGGGTAGGAATTTCAGATATTTAGTGAGGACATAGTATACAAAACACTTTATTTAAGATTTACAAAATCTGTTCTTGTTTCCAGATAACATAAGGTTAAAAAATAAAATCCCATCATTTAAAGCCTACAAAAATCTAGAAGCTTAGATTATTTTCACACAAGCATTCTCATTTATAGTATACAATCACACGTGTTTTTACAACCATTGAAAATAAAACATTCCATCCATGACTTGAAAACAGCTCTTTTTCGAGCATACAAGAGACACCATAAATTGGATCAAAGCAAACCTACACAACTTTGGAACCCATATGTCAAACTTACAAAGTTTAAGAAAGTTAGTTCTCTGAGGACTAGAACTCCAATACATTATAAAACTTTTTCCATGTGTGAACCATTTATGCAAGGACACTAAAGAACAACTTTAAAGCTGACATTAAAAGAAAAACATGGAATGAGGTCCATTTCTGGTGCTATTCCATTCAGTTACGCCACGGGTCAACTTGTCCCATGATCTATAGAAACACTGCCATGATTCATCACAGTAAAAAAAGACACCAAAACCTTCTTTAATTAAAGCATTAAATACACTAGATAAACTAGGAAAGAATTGCCAGAAATACTTCAAATTAAAAGTATAATTTCCACCAGCATTAAATAAATTCAGTCACTGAATTTATGACTTTATGTTCTTTTGACTTTATGTTCTGACAGCAAATTTATTTTGTCAAATGCCTATGAGACGCAAACAAGAATGAGCTATTATAACGGCAATATTACCTTAGTCAAGCAGATTAACTCTTGCTAATGATTAAATTACACATGTGGCTTGCTGCACACCGTCAGAAGCTCTAGTTAGCAATCTGGAAGTGCTCGGGGTGGTAGCTGAACAGCCTGTGTGCGTACGGGTCGCTGTCGGCCGTGGCTTTCTGCGCCGGGTACTGGTGGTAGCTGTCGCCGTGGAAGTGCTCACAGTGCAGGCTGAGCCACTCCCGCTCGCTGCTGAACCGCTCAGCCTCGGCAAGGATCCTGGTCAGAGCCATGATGTAGCTCAGAGCCATCTGCAGGGTCTCGTACTTGGACAGCTTCTTGTCCTGGCCCCACTGCGGCACCACCTTCCTCAGGCGGTCGAAGGCCGTGTTGAGCCCCTGCATGCGGCGCCTCTCGCGGGCGTTGGCAGCCAGCCTCCTCTTGGCAGCGTTCTCCATCCTCTCCGAGCTGCCCCTCAGCACACAGCCTGTCCCACTCTCCATCCTCTCCGAGCTGCCCTTGAGCACACAGCCTGTCCCACTCTCCATCCTCTCCGAGCTGCCCCTCAGCACACAGCCTGTCCCGTTCTCCATCCTCTCCGAGCTGCCCTTGAGCACACAGCCTGTCCCACTCTCCATCCTCTCCGAGCTGCCCCTCAGCACACAGCCTGTCCCGTTCTCCATCCTCTCCGAGCTGCCCTTCAGCACACAGCCCATCCCATTCTCCAGGGGACTGGCTTTACAGGTCTTCATAGCTGGTGCAGCTTCACTTGCACACACACAAAGATCACAAAGATAGCAAAAATTCGCCTTCTAAAGAGTGGTAAGGAAAGCACTCATGGAGTAACCCTTGTACCACTTGAATCTGTTTCCCGATATCAATTATGGAGTATTTTTCTTGCCTTCTAAAAAAGTAAATATAATAAAATAAAAGTTCTTCTGGTTCTTCTGGAAATGTCTGAAAATTGTTTCTTATCGTTGAAAGAAAGAATGAAGCATTTTTATGTCTTATGCTTTCACTCTTTTAATTTCTTTAATCTCAAAGAGAGAGAGGAAACAATGAAATCTCCATTCTCAAAACGTATGTTAGGAAGAAAACAGTCCGTTGAATCCAAGAAGCTCTTACTGGGTTACAGGCACAGCAACTCCAAATGGCAGTTTGCAGTGAGAGCAGTCGTGGCTCAGCTGAGGAGGGATTCAGTGATGGCAGTTTGCAGTGAGAGCAGTTGTGGCTCAGCTGAGGAGGGATTCAGTGATGGCAATGGCTGTGCTCTGAGGAGCTGAGGAGGGATTCAGTGATGGCAGTTTGCAGTGAAAGCAGTCGTGGCTCAGCTGAGGAGGGATTCAGTGATGGTGCTGGTTGCGCTCTGAGGAGCTGAGGAGGGATTCAGTGATGGCGATGGCTGTGCTCTGAGGAGCTGAGGAGGGATTCAGTGATGGCAGTTTGCAGTGAGAGCAGTCGTGGCTCAGCTGAGGAGGGATTCAGTGATGGTGCTGGTTGTGCTCTGAGGAGCTGAGGAGGGATTCAGTGATGGTGCTGGTTGCGCTCTGAGGAGCTGAGGAGGGATTCAGTGATGGCGATGGCTGTGCTCTGAGGAGCTGAGGAGGGATTCAGTGATGGCAGTTTGCAGTGAGAGCAGTCGTGGCTCAGCTGAGGAGGGATTCAGTGATGGCGATGGCAGTGCTCTGCAGCCGTGACTCCCTCAGAGATCTCTGTTCCCCCAGCCAGCAGGGATGGTGTGCAGCGGCCAGGACCAGGCTTTATAGGAACACAAGGGCTGAACAGGTGGTGGCAGGTGGGCGGGCGGCACGCTGCTGCCATCCCAGCACCTTCCCACCCTGGGAACTACAGGGGAAAAAGCCAAACAGCAAAATCCCAACATTACAGCCTTCATCTGGTGAGAAGTCTTCCAAAGCCATTCTGTCCAGCCCTAACAACTTGCCATCTGGAGTAGTGTCTGGCTGGCCCCACAAGACTCTGGGCAGTTAAGCAAAAGACCCTTTCAATGGATAATCTGTTGCAACTCAGGGGGAAAAAAAAATCTCTGTGCATTGTAGCATTTGTACATTAAAACCTGTGAAAATTCTGGCTAAGTGTTGAGGACAGAAGAATAACTGCATTAATCAAACAGCAGAAAGAGCTAAAAGATACACGGCCAAGAATAGAACTGTTTCACACATATAGTACCAAAATAAGTAAACTCAAATTATTAGAAACCCTCCAGCATTCACAATTTTAATATTTTATAAAGTGCATAACATTGCAACCAGAGTAGTATCTCAAGAAAAAAGGGGATTATATATTTGCCTGTTATCAAACTCAAAGTCATTAAAATAATTTAAATATATTTAAACAGTTAAAATGTAGCAATAGATTTACCTAATAATTGCAAAAATATTTAGATGGGTTATGATAGTTATACACAAAAACATGTAAGTATACTAAGCACCTGAAAACTGCCCTTTTTAATACATCCTATTAAAGTTTCTATGTGTATTTGACATGAATTAAAGGTGTATTTTTAGTACTATATCTCTAAATAAGTAACAAGAATAAAAGAGGATGTGAAAAACAAATCTGCTTGCTGGCAGCAAGGGATCAATTCTGCTACAACTGTAACGCCAGAGGAGCCACAATATGCTCACACCCATGCCCCATAATTACAACATATTTCTTTTACTGTACTTGTATTGTACTAAAGTCACAAGTACATAAACTTACAAGGAAATATCACATGATCTTTTTATGATGTACACAAAAGGAAAAAAAAAAACCCTGCCACACAATGATTTATTATCTGTATTGATTTCAAACTTAATTAAATTGTTACCAGCATTCATAAATTAGTAACTTTTTTCATTAGAGACTGAATACTGTATATTTATTTAGAACTATAGCTCAATTGTTTTCATTATGACTCCAAAACTTGGTGTAGTTGTAAACAGCTGATTAATCCCTAGCAGAAGCAATGACAATGAAATGAGGTTGAATAATCCAAAAACAATAGGATGCAATTGAACACTAATGGACTCCAGCATGACAGATGTTGGACGTCGGCTGTTACGCCCAGTTGCTCTGCTCTTAATATTCCCCATCCTAATGATCATGAGCAGAGATGATAGTTGGGGTAGGGAGCCTCCATTATTCCATTATCAAAATGTATGCCACTTCTTCAATTTTTAAAGAAGTGCAACTTGGTCACGTTTCATTAGAAATGTTCGGCTTGGCTGTGTGTGTGCACTGACCTATTCTCCAAACATAAAGAGCTTTTACCACTCGCTAGAGCACCACTTTCTGATTGTCTGTGTGAGAACAGCTCCCTGCAAAACCCCACAGAAACATATGTCTCCCCTAAAGGATCAGCAATTAGAACTTGTGAGATTCCTGTTTCTGAGGATGCTCCACGGGAAGTGCCGCATGTGCAGGAAACAAGACCCACATCTGATCTTCATGCAATTGCTAAGCATATTTTAGTGCTCCTGCAGCCTTCTAGCCCTAATTTTGTTATCCCTAAGTTTGTTTTGTTATCCCTAAGTTTGTTAGTTAAACCCTAGGTCTCTTACAGTGAATGTCAAATGATTTTTCATCTAGAAGAACACCAGAAAATTAAGGTGTTCTGTGAGTTAATAAATGCTGTGTGTTCTCATGAACTAGCTGCTACTCAATTCAGGTAGTTAATCACTCTTCATCTTAAGAATGCTGCTAACCATAAATACAAAAAGCTCCCCTTTAAAACAGAGTACTGTATTTTTTCACTTAGCAGTTTTGTTTTTTTAACTTAATATGTCCAGCCAGCATAAACTACAATGAAGACTTCAAATATATTGAAAATCACAGTGCTTCAGAAACTTTGTATTTTCCTTCACTAATGCACAGTGACCCAGCACACAGCAGTGCTGGTAATTCTCCCTTCCTAATTGATTCACCACCATCATCCTGCTTTGACTAACATGCTGCTGTAATCTCAGGAGAGAGGCTGTGATTTATCTCTCCTACTGAACACGCTGTAACTTCAGCGTAAATGATTTACTATCAAAGCACAGGACAAGAGTCCAGATCCATTCAGACTAACAATGAACTAATAACAGGATTTTATAGCTCATAGGCAAAGCTAAAAAATGCTGGCTGACCAAAATCCCCGGTTTTCATCACTTAAAATTTTGTAAAGTTCCTGCTTTACGAAAGCAAAATACAAAACACATCAAGGTCCTATTCACACAATCCAGTTCATTTGCCCAGCCCCATTGCATTGCCTTTTGATATTGTTACTTCAAACTAAAAAATAATCTGCTTTATCACTCAGTGAATAGGAGAAAGGGTATCAGGTGGAATTTTCACAGGTTTCCTTCACTCAGTTCGATTTCCTCTATATTTCAGTTTGTCTCAATTAGCCCTTATGTAATTGTATTCTCTCCTCCCTTTACTTTAAACAATTCCTCATATGTATTACTATTTGAAATTTTTTTTATTATTATCAATATTTTTATTACATATTTTTAAAAGCTGCTACTATAGCCTGATGTGATAAACTGCTGTGGTGCTAAAACCTTTTTTAAATCCTAACTTATATTAGTTTTGTGGGTTTTGTACATCAACCATTTCTCAAAAAAATTCCCTTTTACTTTTTTTATTCTCATAAAATAATCTCAAGCCAGAAAAATATCAGAATCACCAAAAGAAGTTCTATGCCTACCCAAGCGCTCAAAATTCAATCTTTGATTCTCTAACTATGCAGGTACCAATTTAGTGCTATTCCACAATCCTCACAGCATTATTCCTGAGTCATATTTTAATTCTAAACCAGTATCATTAACCAAAATATTATGTTTCCCTCAGAGAAAAACAAGAGACAGATAAGAATGCTATTTCAGTCACAAACCAGATTGTTTTAGCAGCTTCAAGTCACCATCAATATTAGGAAAATAAAGGAGTTTCAATCCATTAAAGAAATTAGTTCGTTTCAGGATTTATGACTACATACATAAACCCATTCAAAACTGTCTGCTAGGTATCCAGGTTAAAAACTCAGATGCAATTAGTGCAGCACCCACTAAGAGATGAATGTCTTTCACCTGCACTACTATGGAAAACACAATCTAATTACTTTGATTACTTTTATTGGGGATTGACTGGGACCAGAGACAAAATTTAAAATGAAATGAAAGCAATATTTCTAGTTAAGGTCTAATTCCTCCCTACTTTCTCCACCTGTATTTACAAAAACATATACAAGCAATGTACCAAAAGAAGAATCTTACCTCTCCCTTCTAGCCAGAACTATTTCCTCTCAGGTAGAGCCTTTCTAAAAGCCTCAAGCCTCGTCACACTGCTGTTTACCCTGAGCAAAGCAGAAAGAATGGCAAGCTGGATGCTGCCTAATTAAGAGCAGGTGGGTAACTACCAAAATATGGCCATCCTTGAGGGCCCAATTTCTTGTAACATTTGACTCAGCTCACAAGACAGGCTAGAAATCCACGGTGTGCAGAATCGCTCCTTTTCCTGCCTTGGTTATTTGTGTTGTTTTCCCTGCCACAGCTACAGAAGTATCCAAACCCAACAATTCACTAGAGAATGCTGTATCCTGCAGGGACACTCAGTAAGTAATACTGGAAATGGAATAACAACCTACAGCAGCAGCAGGAGTTTGAGTCATTTCACCTGG